ACACAGATGTATTAAAACGTCAATGAAGGGAGAGCTACATTAAATGGGAATAACTGTCAGTTTTTAATAAACGTTTTCAAAGTTTGGATATTTTATTATTTCTTAGACTTCAAGCTCTCGACCCTTTCCAAAACCTCACTACTGTCTAACGAGTCTTACAGGTGATCCTGATGAGCGATGATCTTGTAAGGTTTACTTAGATTTCAACCAACCCATCTCTAAGTGACTAAGTCCCAAGTGTGTCCTTCTTACACCTATAAATCCTGGTTGAACTCATTGAATGAATGAGTACAGGACACACTTTTGAAAGGAAGAGAAGATAATTCTTCAGTCCTGATGATCACTGAAATGGTCTAAATGCTTGTGTCCTCTCTAAAATTCAAATGTTGAACATCTAATCCCAATGTGATGGTATTAGGAAATGGAGACCTTGGGAGGTGATTAGATCATAAGTGTGGACCATCCATGAAAGGAATTAGTGATCTTATAAAAGAGGCCTCAGAGAACTGCCTTGCCCCTTCCACCATGTGAGGACACAGCAAAATGGTACCATCTATAAACCGGAAAGTGGAGTCCTCATTAGACACTCAATCTGCCAGCACCTTGATCCTGGATATCTCGGCCTCCAGAACTATGAGAAATTAATTTCTGTTGTTTATAAGCCACCCAGTTTATGGCATTTTGTTACGGCAGCCCAAATGAACTAAGATGGTCACTTGGGACCTTTACTTTTGCTCTACGTTTCTTTATGAATGCCCTTGCCCAAGCTAAGCCTTATTTTTCTCTTTTGCAGCTTTCCCTTCAGTCATCAAAGTAACTAACAGTAGAAGGAAAGCCAGGCTTTTGATTTTGGACAAACTCATATACACGGAGAACCACTTTCAAAAACACAGATGAAAGAGTCTATTGATAACTCCTCTAGAAGTTAGGCCTTATATATCCATGAATGGGACAGGCACAGGCAGAATTGTGGAATATCACCTCAAAAAAGAAAAACAAGAAAGCAAGATCAGGAGAAATGAGACTGGAGCAGAACTGTCATGAGTTATCAAACTGTTTTTGTAGTAAATCTGTCACCAAAATGCCAAGGATTTTGTCCAGGTCCTGTTAGGTTTGAAGAAAAGCCATGAAGTGGCTCTGTGTGGAATGCAAAAATTGATACAGATATTAAACTCCAGGAGATGTTATTTGCGAAAGATTACTGCAAGAGGTCAAGCTATTCAGAGACTATACCTGATTATGAACGTTGTTCTACCTGTGATCATGCTGAGAGAATAACATGCTGGTAAAGGTGTGAGGGTGAAAGTATTGTCACATTTGCAAAGTATAATGCAATTTCTCTCTCAGGGAGTAATACTTCTCTCTCTCTCTCTCTTTCTTTCCCTCTCCCCCCTCACTCTCTCCTTTTCTCCCTCTCCCTCTCTCTCCTACCTCCCCTCCTGACAATCTGAAACTGGTACAAGTTTCCCATAGAACTGATGATTATAGTTTCTTTGAATAGACACAGAAATTGATCACGCCTGGCAACAGCGCAAGACTTGGTTTCAAACAAACAAATACCTCTGTCCGAGCATGGTGGCACACACCTGTAATCTCAGCACTTTGGGAGGCCAAGGTGGGCTGATCACCTGAGGTCAGGTGTTTGAAAAACTAGCCTGACTAACATGATGAAGCCCATCTCTGCTAAAAATACAAAAATTAGCCTGACGTGGTGGCATATGCCTGTAATCCCAGGTACTTGGGAGGCTGAGACAGTAAAGAAAAAAACAAATAAATAAATTGACCCTCCCTGTCTTAAAACTTGAGAAAGTTACATTTGTCTTATCTGAGTTCCTTTCTCAGGAAACGAACCATCAGGCCTCTCAGGTAGTATCAGGGAGCTGAAACTTACCAGACAAAGGCATCTGGCCAGTGAGAAGCCAGACTACTTACCCATCATGATTGCCTAATTGACAACTTGCTTCCTGTGGACCACCTCCTCTTCCTCACCTCCTCTTCCTTACCCCTCCCTAATTCCTGTTTTCCCACACCTAGTTACATTTCTTCACTCTATATAAACCCCTAATTTTAATCATTAGAGACAGACTGATTGTCCATCTCCTTAGCTGCAGCACCCAATTAAAGCCTTCTTCCCTGGCAATATTTGTTGTCTCAGTGGATTGGTTTTTTGTGTGGGGAGTAACAAGACCTGGACCAAACCCTTGGTCTGGCATGTGCTACGTTCCGTGCTGCACAAGGGTTTAAGGACTTAAGAGGGAACAGTGGGGGATAAGAAAAGACACAGACACAGACATACAGAAAGCTGGGCCAGGCGATTAAGGAGGTGAGGATGTTACTCTCTCCATCCCCAAACTGTTTTCATGTATTTTATTTTATATGTTCATAAAGCACATAGCAGAGGGAGGGTGCAGTTACTGAGAACAGTCTGTGGCTATTATTTTTATACTTTAGTTAACATATTTCAGCTAAAAACTATTTTGCAGCAAGGTTAGCGAAAACTGGTTATATTTTTAGGTCCGTTTGTTCTCTCTAAGACATACACATCCTCCTACTGTGGTTTTACTTCCCTGAAGTTCAACCAAAGTTCACAGCAGCCTTGCTGCTGATCCCGCCGCCCCCCCACCCCCGCCAAGAGGGAGTGTGCTATTTTGCCTCCCTACATCCTGGCATTTTGGTAACAGATTTACTACAAAACAGTCACAGTTTGCTAGACTGATCTTAGCAGTGCAGGACCAACAGGTGCAGATCTCACAGGCAGCAGGTGCCCTTACCAAAGATGTCGAATTGGGAGAGATGTGTGTTTCATAGCAACCAGGACTCCACCTTGATCCAGGTACAAAACACTGTGCTCTTCTTCAAAGATCTAGATGAGGAAAACACATACATAGACACACATCCACATCCACACATACTCAGGCTTCAGAGAATCAGTATTCACATGAGAACAAAAAATCCTTCCCATGACTAAGTAAGTTTCCCTAAATCTGCAGAAAAATAAAGTTATAGAACAGTTCTTCCCAACATGGGCTACTGTACCACTGGTGTTATGTAAAATAACTTTAGGTGTGCATAATATAAATTTAAAGAATGAATATTCATGGGTTCATGCTTATATTCCTTCATTTTCATGATAATTTCTATTGATTTCCAGTTATAATGATGTCAGAATATTGGTTAACTGTCATATATTACACAGCTCCAGATAGAGGGAAACTTAGAGACCATTTACTCCAACAGTCTCATTTTCATAGACAAGAAACCTAAGGTTTAGAGAGATATGGTAACTTGTCCGAGATCGTGCATATAGTAATGGATGGAGCTTGGACTTGCTGCATTACAGTGGCCTTTCCAGATCTATTTGTAGTTGTAGTTTCCAACTGTTATCAATGAAAAGTGTTCTTGTTTAATTAACAAAGCCTCCACCAAAATCATGGTGAGTTCTGTTGTCATCTTTGAGTACATGTGTCATTGTGTATTTCCCCAAAGGTAGAGAAGCAAATTTGAAGTCAAATGGAGAAACACTGGAAACAGCATCCAGGTCCTTTCTATATAAGATGCATGCTGTTATCTCAGTCAGATTATTAGTATAGCCTTGCCTAGAGTTACATTATAGACAATTTTCTTCCAATTTGTTTCTTATACTCAAGATGCATCCAAAGGCTATAGAAGTAGAGACTTCTTTGCCTTGTGTGGGGTGTTGGAAAGAAGAAAATGAGATCCTGGATCTCTAGCTATTCTCCAGAAGAAATTTACTTAGAATAGTCCAAGTTTCTTCATACCTCCAAGATCAATTGCTCTGGGGTTTCTTATGTAAATTTCTTCCCTACCTCCTCCTCTCAAAATATCAGGATCCCACTGAGGATCTATAAAGGATCTGAAGCTAAGAAATGGCAATTGGAACATAATGTGGACATCTCTGTCTAAAATTTAAAGCAGAGTGCTCTCATTGCTAAGTGTGATTACCTGTGCATTAAATTTCAATTTACAGTGCTAGTTATTGTATGATAATTAAACGTCAGTAGGTTATTAAAACATATTTATTGAAGTATAACAACCATGCATTAGGCACATATCTTGTTAAGATTGCCAAACCTCATTAAATGCCTGTTTTATAAGCTATGGGTATCTAACTTTCATTCAGAAGAAAGGCAGGAAGCACTTAAGCTAAACACACTGGTTTAAAGTATTCCATTTCTACTTTCTCTAATATATGCATCCCGATGGTTATTACTATGTCTTTTCCACATGAGATTTAAACATCTCAGAACACCACCTGGGTAATGGCCATTTTGAAATCTGCATTCCTTCCTATTCTGACTTCAAGGCAAGAGGAATTTATGGAGCCAACTCAACATTAGGCATGCAATCTACTCTTAATGCTGCATATTTCACATATGATAAACCCTTAGGAATTCTGGTTTTCATTGACGGGAAAAATTTAGTCAGACTTAATTTGGTTTCATTGTGACTTATAAACGTCCTTACATACAAGCTCTGAATAAAGAACCTCTTTATTAAGTGATAAAAAATCAAACTGCATAAATATTTGCTAAACTCAAAGATTTAAGATTTTTATTAAAAAAAGGAAAAATAAACATATTCACAGTCTTTAGGATTTATGTGCAGCACTGCTGAAAACATTCCCAGATCTGAAGAAAGCTGGACAATTTTTATGCCACTTAAACTTTGGCAAGTTGGTCCAGAGTGTTCTCTTACCTGCCTCCAAGTGTTCCCTGCATCTGAAGAGACAAACATGCTGATGTCAGTGTCTGATAATTCAGAACCTATATTACCTAGAAAGAGAAGGCCACCATTAGTGAAAATAACTTGCTGCAACAGCAATAATGGACTATACCGGCAGGTGCACTGCCTGAGAAAGATTTTGACTGCCAGAATTCTGTCTGTGCAGGGGTTTTCTTCAGACTTGCTTCAGGGCTGGTGGTTTACATGCCTTTCAAAAATAATTTTAGCTTGCTTATTAAGTTCCAAGTACAGATATACAGCTTCTTAAAATAAACACTATTTACCACAGCCAGCAAACCAGGGAAGCTTCTTACCTGATGCCACTATGATGCTTGGAGCTGTGTCTTTGCTGGCAATGATCCCTGATGTGTAAGGATTCTCAGAGACCTTCAGGTGAAGGTGTAGTGAGCAATAGGGCTGAAAAGAGAAATAGTGTCATAAAATCACATAATCAAAATGGTCATTTGAAGCTTAGAATCAGGTCGTCCATCCATCCATCCATCTAACCAACCATCTCATTTACCATACATCCATGCACCACTCCAACAACCCTTGCACCTGTGCTTATGCTACCCACCATCTTTCATTTCCCCAAATATCTAGTGTCCACTAAGTGTAAAACAGCCTTCAAGTTCGTAAAGGAGAGACCACCTTCATTTTAGGTATTATCTAATTTGATCTTTGTCATTACAGAGCTTACAGTTTATATAGAGGACATGTGATCCTTCTATTAATTACCATAAAGAAAATACTTTAACAGCCATAAAATTGTATAGAAAAAATAGTATGAGATTCTAGAAGGTGGAGAGACTATGCTGAACTTTGAATCATGAATGACTCCAAAGAGCAAACAGTGCCTGAAGCAAAGATAGATAGGCTATGAACTGTGGGTAGATGTTCAAGAGATTAAAGAATGTTTCCGGCCTGAGTAATAACAATAACAAAGAAAAAGAAGCAGAAAAGCTGAGTAGCACAGTATATTATCAGAAAAGACCGAAGAGGAGAAATGGGATATGAATCCAGGAGAGAAGATAAAGTGAGGCCTGGGAGGGTTCTGAAAAAGTCAGTTGGCATCTCGTCTCCATTTGAGACCTTGGTCTCAGTTGTACAGGAAAAGCATGTGAAACTATCCCAACACCCACCAAACAACTGATCCAATATCTCTACCAGGATATGATCAGAATCAGAATTATTCAACTTGAAAGTCATACTTGTAGACAAAATGCACTAGTTGTAAAAATTTAAATGAAAATATAAGGGACTTTGTGCAGAAACCTTGATCAAATTATCTGATTGAAATATCAATAGTTTTCAAGGAAAAAAATGGATAATAAATCTTATATGAATTTTGTTTAAAATAGTTCTTGCACTGCGTTGTCAAAAACTATAAGTTTGTGTTTGAACCTACATTTCTTTTCATCTCTCAGGAAGATTACTTTCTAATCTTATCAACTTGACTTTTTGGAATCACCAATGTATCTCTGTTATTACTTTTATTCTGCTCTGTAAGTTTCAGCCAGCAGACATTCAGAGATCTACAGATACAATGATTAAATTTATATAGGATGGAGTAAATGACAAAGTGAAAATGAAACTCAGGAATAAAAGCAGCCAGGATGCTGGTGAAATAAAACAGCAGATCACAATTGCATATTTTCTTTACTGCCAACAAAGTAAAATTCTCAAGGTGTAATAACAGTAATAAATGATTGTTTTGCATAAAAATTTCATGTAAATCTTTCAATAAAAGGAGTTTTCACTTTATAATGTTCTATAAGACAGCCCGTATAAGAAAAAATATCAGGCCTAGCTGCTTGGCTTTTATTAGTCCAAGAGGAAGACTAGAACTCATATAATTAAATGCTGTGGATGTTCCAGAACAGCACAGTACAACATTCAGATGATGCTAAGACAGGATAAACCAGGATTGCAAAAGCAGTTTTCCATTTAAAGTCTTCCTTATAACTGCAGCCTATCAGGGTCTCCCCTCTTCTAATCTACGATGTATTTCACTGTGCACAATCTTGTATTATCTATTTCAGGTATATCACTCTAAGAATACACTCTATAAATAAAGATAACTCATTAAATACTGCTTTCCATCTATTGTGAAACCTAACATAGAATCTAAACAAGATAATAAATAGAAGCTTGCAAAATCAAGCAATGTTTTTTTGTTAGGATATGAAAGACATCACTTTACTATTTTACTCAGAGCAATGCCAGGAGTATGTGGGCTTGATTACAAACCACATAATCTGAATAATGTTGTGAGCAAATATATGGCATTCCAAGAAGTAGACTACTGCTTGGGGATTATCTCTAGACATATGAGCTAAATAGAGGAGTTTGCACCACCAAAGAGGACATCCCTAGCCAAAAGAGCACCCAGCTTGCAATCGTAAGCCAGTTGCTTGCCACAGGTGAAAGATTTTGAAACTTGTTTGCACCAGACCTAAGGATTACTTGGTAAGGGGCACTTGTCATCACAAAGGAAAGATGTCAGGCTGAGTGTGGTGGCTCACACCTGTAATCCTAGCATTTCAGGAGGCTGCAATGGGTGGATCATTTGAGGTCAGGAGTTCAAGACCAGCCTGGCCAACATAGTGAAACCCTCTCTCTACTAAAGATACAAAAATTAGCTGGTCGTGGTGGTGGATGCCTGTAATCCCAGCTACTTGGGAGGCTAAGGCAGGAGAATCACTTGAACTTGGGAGGTGGAGGTTGCAGTGAGCCTAGATCGCACCACCGCACTCCAGTCTTGGCAACAGAGCGAGACTCCATCTCTAATACAAAACGAAAAAAAAGCAAAAAACAAAAACAATGGAAAGATGTCTTTTTTTCCATTGGCTATCTCAGCATGCCTCTGTTGCTATGGTTTTCAGAGGGCTGAGATATGCTAATCTGAGAAGAAAAGACACCAGTTCAAACAGTAACAGCAACATTAGAAATGATCTTTTGATGCACTGTTTTCTCCACTCTCACATTTGTAGTACTGGATTGCCCCCAGCTGGTATAAGAAGAATATTCTGTGGCTTTCTGTTCTTTAATTTTCTTCAAGGAAGTTACATAGTCTACACAAATGTTCAAGGAAAAAGCAATGTGAGGTGATTCATCTTCACTTTTTTAACTTAAGCTGTTTTACTGATCAGGTTTGGACATTTGTCCAAGTTAAGTCATAAAAAATTGATATAGTTTATATTAGTATATTTTATTACAACACTTATCAAATCCCTCTAAGCCCCTGGAGGACACAAAACAAAGCACTCCCGTTCTTTTTTTTTTTTTTGGTGACGGAGTCTCACTCTGTCACCAGGCTGGAGTGCAGTGGCATGATCTCCACTCTCTGCAACCTCTGCCTCCCATGTTCAAGCAGTTCTCCTGCCTCAACCTCCCAAGTAGCTGGGACTACAGGTGCACACCACCACGCCCAGCTATTTTTTTTTTTTTTTTTGTATTTTTAGTAGAGATGGGGTTTCACCATGTTGGCCAGGATGGTCATGATCTCTTGTCCTTGTTATCCAACTGCCTTGGCCTCCCAAAAAGCTGGGATATCAGGCATGAGCCACCGCACCCAGCCCAGCTGTCAGTTCTTATGCACATTTTGCCCAGGCAGGGGTCACATTATAGGGCTCTTTCTTTCTCTTGTCTACCTGACTTCTTTTCTCTCATTAGCAAATATGTGCTGGGTACCTATACATGCTAATTGTCACAATAGTTGCTTTTTTCTTTCCAGGGTTATCTCCAAGTCAATAGAGTCAAAGCACAGCCTGTTCCAAGGGCAGTTCTCTATTTTCCTGCCCTTTCCACATTAATATACGAATGTACACTCAACCACCAATGACAGCAGCTGAACTGCAGAGGATAGAATAGCCAGCATGCATGCTTGGAAGCTGCCCTTCACATCCTTACACATAGTCACCAGCCATGGCACATCATCAATTGGTAAATTCTAGGAGCAGCTAGATTGTTAGTCTATAATCTCTTCTGGGTCAGGTACAAAGTTCGAGAATCTGATGCAAATTAAAGACCAAAATAAAAGGCACACAGACAAGTACACAGAGTTTTTCACTTATTTTCAGGGAGTCTGCAAACCCCTGAAACCCACGAGTGGACCTCTAGTTACTAGTCACCTTTCTTTGCCACATTCTTTTATTTTTACCAACAAAATATTTTGGCTATTGCAAGTGTTCAGTTAACGTCCATTGAATTTAACTGGTCCATTATTTTTTACTTCAAATATTTACCATTTATTCCTCTTGTCTAACTGAAACATTGTACCCTTTGACCGATATCTCCCCATTTCCCCCGATTTCTAGCCTCCAGTGACTACCATTCTGTCTCCGCTTCTCTGAGTTTGATTCTTTTAGGTTCCACATAGAAGTGAGAGACGCAGACTTGGTGTTTATGTGCCTGGCTTATTTTTCTTAGCATAATGCTCTCCAGGTGATCTGTTAATTATCTACTATGTTTCTAGCATTGTGGATGCCCATTGGGGGATTACCAAATGATAGAAGACATTTCCCCACCATGTAATAAATCAACTTTAAAAGCTGTTATATTATTTAAGGGTCAACCAGCTTCAAATTCCAATTCTTTCTCCCCAGTCTTTGTATCAACTGCCTTTAGATCCTATCTTCATGGTATCTTTATCTCCATGGTGTCTAATCTGAATGTTGTCCTGAAAAGACAGATCAGAGCTTTCATAACAAACGAGCTCCCAAATAGTATCCCCAACACTCTCCCTCCCAAAATCCACACTCGTCTGTATAATTTCTGACTCTGAATTGGAACTTGAATTTATTAGCTCTTCCATAATGACTCAATGGCAAAAGGAAGGAGGCCCCTAGATCAAATGGCTGGGTATGGGGAATTCAGCTCCAGTCCAAATCAGCAAAATATATACAGTCACAGACAATGCAAGAAAGGTGAAAAGCAAATTCTCCTGGGGCTGCTGCCTCCTCAGCTCCTGTAGAAAACCGCCAGATGAATCCACAAAGAAGTCAGCACCTCTTTCCAGGAAACACTATGCTTTCCCTGAGGGCCTAAGCATTTGTCTCAGGCTCAGTTCAGCTCACATCTTGCCTCCTAGGAGCCCAATCCTGAGGCGTGGGAGGCAGGTGGACCATGACCTATAATACTCGATCTAATTGTCCAACGCAGTCTTCAGAGGAAAGAAATCCCAGCTGGGCCCTCCAGGCAATCAGTCTAAAAGTCCTAAAAATACAGCCCAAATTACCCTAGATGTCTTATTTCTATTGAATACATTTTTACCAGGAACATTCCATTTGGGCTGTAATTCTGAACTTATTCCACATCTGTAACAGCCCTGCTGGAAAAATCTCTTTTCTAATCACTAGGCTGTGCTTTCGGTGACACTGTCATTTTCCAAGTACTCACAATCTAAAATCACTTTTTATCTCGTCTCTGCCACCCGCTCCCAAGCCTAAAGATGGTTTTTAACAGTCTGGGTCTCCTGTAGCTCAAAGATTTTCTTTCCTAGTTTGTGCCTTTGGCAGATTTGTGTAAAGTGATTTTGGTCTCTCATCCCTACTGCCTTTGTCCTTTTCCCCTTCCCACCTGCAGCCTGCTTTCTGAAGCTTGGGTTGTAACTACATTAAACAACAGGGTTAACAAAGAAGGAAGACTGGAAGACTCCCAAGTTCCATACATCTGTATCCCAATAATCTATCTTTCCTCCATCTCAATGAGCCTCCTGCTTTGGTTAACTTTGGGTCCAACTTGAGCCCATGAGCTTCAGAAGGTAGACACTGGGACAAATCCTCCAGTGGACTCTCAGAGGGAATGAACATCTTCCATTAAAGTCCCAATGTGAGACTGAAACACCTTTCGATGGAGTGCATACTCCAAACATGGCACCCCCAATAGCATGTATGTTGAGCCCCTACCACGTGGCAGGTTTGATTCGTGGAGCTGATTCTTTGGAATGGCGAAGAAGATAGGCACCGTCCCTAGACTCATGAAGCCCACATTTCGGCAGGGAAGATGGACAAGAAAATTAAGCACTACACGTGCTGATTTCAGTTAACAGTAAGGACCATGAAGAGAAAAGGGTTAGGACAAATAAACTGTAGGGGATGCTCAAGAAAGTTCTCTTAAATTAAGATAATGAAGCAAGGACCTGAGTGCCAAGAAAAAGCCAGACAAAGAGAAGGGCATTTTGAGAGAAATAACAGCATAAGCAAAGACCCTAAGACATACATGACCATGGTGAGTTCATGGTACAGAAAGAAATGCTGCCTTCTCCACCTTGGCTTTCATATAAGGAAGAAAGAAAGGAGGGAGAGGCTGGAGACCAGGGAGGAGGACTAGAAGGGGCCAGATTACATGGGGCCTCACTGGTCATGATAAAGTATTTTTATCTATTCCAGATGTATTAGAAGCCATTAGAAGGTTTAAATAATGAAGGGATACCTCTGGGTTTTCAAAAGTTGAAGTTGATAGATTTACACACAATTTTAAAAAACAGCAATCTAATATATAGTAAATTGAAGTGGATCATTGGTTGTGCTGGGCTGAGAGTGTGGGTTCTAACTGCAAAGAGGCACACAGGTATTTTTTAGGGCCATGGAAATGTTCTGTCTTGATTGTGGTCATGGTTATACAGGTATATGCATGTGTCAAAATTCACTGAACTATACTCTTAAAACTGGTATGTATGTATATTTTCCCTCAAAATAAAGTTGATTTTTTAAAAAATGGTCCCACTGGCTTCTGTCTAAAGAGATTCCTAAGTAAAAGTGGGAGGACCAGTTAGAAGCCTGTCACTGTGGGTCAGGTGAGCAACAATGCTGGCTTGGATCAGGGCAGTCCCAGTGGTGATGGAGAAGTAAGTTGATACCACGTTTCTATTTTGGAGGTACAACAGTAAGAGTTCTTACACTGGGTTGGGAGTGAAGCAGGGAATACCTTGCTAAGTGCTTTAAGAGCCATTTTTAATGATTCATTTATGACGCCAGAGTGCCTAGGCAAGCCCATTAAGTGACATGGTTAATTCTCTCTCAAAGGCATTTAATCTCCAAAGTGTGGGGTAGAGACCAGCGTAAGGAACTGGCATATCCCAAGCATCTTTGGTTAGGCAGCACTACACTCCAGCTTGCTATAGCTGGGCTAGGACGGTGGCCCTGTTTTTTAAATGCCACTGAACTGTGCCTTGCATATTCAATAAATAGCTGCTACATTTACTTACTCTGTCACTGGCATGGTGCACTTACTATAACAACTGGCTTTTCCCCCCTGTTAGTTGCCAGTAATAAGGATAGAAGCTGAGTGGGAAGCTGAATTTTAGACTGCTTCCCTGATGCACAGTGACAACTGTGAAATCCTCTGCAACTAATAAGGTCAAGCTATGGTTCCTGTCACCTTCTCAACTAGGAGGGTGACCCACCTACAGCTGTGAGAGATGAACCTGCAAAGTGACTGTCCAGACTTTATGAGACGGAAGGAAGCAAGCTGAGTGTGAATAACATCAAAGTCAGAATTGCATGAAGAGTGTGAACAACTATATACGTGTAGTACACACACACACACACACACACACACACACACACACACACACACACACACACCCCTCCCCTACAAGCCCTTCTTACTCAGATGAAGTGGTCTTCCCTCTAGGTTTACACGATCAGCTCTCCTTTTTCTAAATTTAGACAGAGCTTCTGAATTGTTTTACAGACATTGATAGTATTATTAATGCTTTCGCAATTTGCCTCTTCCTCACCTCCTTCTGCATTCTCTCAGTACTTATCTTTGGGCAGGCATCAGAGCTAATAGGAGGAATAAGATGTGGCCCTGCAATATTCCATTTATTAATTTAGTCACTTTCAAGTAGACTGCAAACTCCTTGAAAGCAAGATTCATCTTTGATCCTCCTTTTGGATGGCATCATATATCAAATATATAAATAAATTCATACTAATCTATGTACTATCCAAATGTAAGGCAAGTAAAAGAAAGCCATACTTTAAAGCAGGGGTCAGCAAATCTTTATAAAGGGACAGATAATAAATATCAGGTTTTTTTCACCATACAGGCAATAAATACCTTTGGCTTTGTTCACCCAACAGCCTCTGTCATGCTCGATTCTGCCTTTGCAGAGTAAAATCCACCATAGACAATATGTGAATGAATAAGTGTGAGCATGTTCCAATAAAACTGTATTTAGAAAAACAAGTGATGGGCCATATTTTTCCCACAGGCTATAGTTTGCCAACTTCAGCTTTAAGAATAAGACATAAATGAACAGAACATATTGTAAAGAATACCAATAAGGGTATAAATCGGTGGTTCTTACCTTTTTTGAGTCATGAACTCCTCCAAAAATGTGATTAAACATCTCCACAGGAAAATACACCTACACAATTCTGCATTCAGTTCATCAACTCTACAGCTGAATTTATGTATTATTAAGTTTTGTAACAGGTTACTCATGAGAAAGTAGGTTGTTCAGGGTGTATCCTCACCAGGGATAGAGACTGTCATATTCTCCCTCAAACTACCATTTGAGGTCCTCATCAGAACTGGGGCAGGAAGCAAGGACCCCGGAAGGGTGCAAGAAATGTGCCCATGTTCTCCATCTCTGTGGCACGTCACACTAGGCAGTGCTGTGCGTTTTCTACACACTTTGCCTTCATGCCCTTCCCTGCCAGCTTTTGTTCATCGACTGAACAGAAGTCCCAGAACTCTCCTCATCCTCTGTTAAACATCCATTTCTATCCCTCCACCGAGAGGCATTCTGCCTCAATATGAAGACTCACCAGCAAGCAGTGCACGGGGTCCCCCCTTAGATCCGTGTCTGGTGCCTGCAGCAAACGCCAGTCTCTGCCTTTGTTATACGTGATGAAAGTCTTCACTTGGTTGTCAATCTTCTTGTTAGCCAAGAACATTCCCTTTATCCCTGCTACCTGGGAAAAATTGACATGGCTGAAAAATACATCAATTTGAGAAGGGATATATTTGTTTACTACAACAAAAAAAAAAGCTGTCAAAGTCAGCTGAGAGCACTTGTCTTGGAAGAAAGGTTGCCGATGGGGGAAGCAGGGGACACTCAGGTATAATGACTTCCTGGGCTACTGGACAAACAACAATAGATTGGTGATCCTTATCATACGAGGGTCAGAATAAGAGTTTGATAGAGGCTTCTTATTACCCCGAACATAGGCTGACAAGAGCCTGCAGTTACCAAGAGATAAATTCTCATAGTTTCAGCTCTGTTGCTTGGTAATTAATAATAAATAATAAATAAATAGGAGCTACTTCTATGGTATGCTAGTGTAGCACCCAGAGTCTTAAACACTTGATCTCACATAATCCTTAAAAACATTCTTCTTTGGTATCGTTTATTCTATTTCACAGTTGAAGAAAGCTCAGGCTCATCCAAATAAAGTGACTTGCCTAAGGTCACACTGCTCAAGGGCACACAGTAAGTATCAGACTCAGGATTATTAACCCACAACTCTGTGGCTTCACAGCTCATGCTCCTAATGCCTACCTCAATTACCAAGTTATCTGCAGTCTTTGGCAATTGAAAGAGGTCAGTTACAGCTCCCGATCCAATTACTGTTGCTTTATTTCTGTGTAAGATTTCTCTGTTAAGCCAACAGAATACACAGAAAATAAGAGGACAGCTTTTAAATTTAAATAAATGGTGGTTTCCCTAAATCATCAAATACTCCCTTACTTTGTTTTTATAACACCATTGCTCTCACTCTAAACAGATGCTATTAATTACTTGGCTCTGAAAATATGATTGCTTCCTCTCTTCTGCATGTTAGGAAAGAAGTAATAATTAGTAAGTTGTCAAAACTTTGCAAAAGCAAGTAATTGTGCATTATAGATTTTTCTTGTGTTTTGGAGTTTGTCAAACACATTCAGGCATATTTTACTCTGCCTGCAATTATAAAAACCCAGGAAAGCTGGAGGGCAGTTAGGAAAAGGACTGAAATGTGTTGCGTAATGTGTTGCAACATTGCACATACATTACCTCATTTAATGCTCAGAATAACCATGGAATAATTATCATTAGGCACATTTCAAGAATGAGGAAATAAACACTTTGACTGGGTGGCTTTCTGGAACACACCTAGGGAATAAATAAGCTAACAAGCATATTTGAACCTACTTGAGCCCTTTATATTAAAGCATGAAAAAGTTCTAAGCAGAATAGTGAGGCAATAGCTGTCACCTCTTCAGACCTCACCAAACACCAAGGACTATGCCCAGTACTTTATCTATAAAACCTCCAATACTCACCACAAACCTGCACCTGCCGCTTTTACCGCAATGCTGCAGATGAAGAAACTGACATCACAGAAAGTTGAGAAACACGCCCAAATCTCCCTGACTGCCACATCGTTTCAACAAATACAGCTGTGAATCTGTCAATTCTAAGAGGCTGGGTTTCAATCGATAGAAGACACACATTTCGCCTTTGCTTTTGACAGCCAGATCTCATTAGTGTGTACCTGCTGATCTGGCATCTGGGATAATTTAGAGTTGGGCCAAATCTGTACCTTTTTGAAAAAAGTATGTTAAACAAATAAATGGTATAAATGAGTTGCTGAGAGGAATACTTTGAACTATTATACTCAGGAAACAAGGTACATTCTGGGCAATCAATAGCAGCCAGAACAAATTTCTTGTGCATTGTCTAACCTCAACAAATATGGAAGGCATAAACTCCAGGAGCACTCTGCCTCCCGACAACAGTGTGTTAATTACAAATAATATTTAGTAATTCACTACACCAGCACCACAAGGACTGCTCACCAGGGAACTCCATATTGGTTTTGCGTATGTTCAAGAAGCTGTTACATACTTAGATAGGAATAAACTGCCAGTTCTGTAAAAAAATTAAATTATGCAAATCAGAATTTCACAAAGTCATAATGGTCTTTCCTCTATACCATTCCCAAAAATGAGAAATGACCCTGTCTTCGCCATTCAACACTCTAGAGGGTTATAGTAAGTGCAGTAGGAATAAAAATGTTACCAATCCAGTTGTTTCATTGCCCATTTTCCTTCCTGCCCTCTCCCTCTTCTGGCAAGGGTGCCAATGCCAGGTTATGCAGGTTTGGGAGCTGGTTCATTTGATTTGCAGAAGTGGTGACTTTATTGGCCCCCGACTGCTTGGCATTACTAAATGCCACTTGAGCAAAGAGCTGTGCTTTGTAATTCATCTCTGGCAGCTTGGCCTTCAGGTTTATCTTGAGGAATAAAAACTTGGCAAAGTAAAGGAAATGTGTATCAACGGGGGATAGAGCTGGAGAGGGTCTGCTTATTGCTTATTTTCCTCCTGCAGCCAAGACATTTTATCCATTTAATGTTGGGTTTTTTGTTTTGTAGTCAAAAAGGTAGTCAGCCTTACTCTTAGGTTTTTGTGCTATTCACTGTTCCTTTCACTCTGAGCTTGTTCTGTGCATCTCATGGAAACCCCTAGGCATCGGCCACTTCCCTTCAGGGCTCTTTTCTAAGGTCTCAGGTCTCATCCTATGTTTCTTGGAACCTCTACCCTCTCACTGTAGGACTTTGGATATCAACAGGGCTGATATCAAGCATTAGTTCCCCAAATATGGAATGTGTGTGGGTGTACATGTGTGTACCTGTGTATCTATACAGTATACATCTCTCTCTGTGTGTGAGTGTGAGGTCTGGGGTTCCACTGAGGATGAGGGGACATGTTTATGTTTCTAGATTACCTTTCTGTATCCACAATGCCTGCATATTTATAGAATGGAGTGGGGCTGAGGGATGGGGTAGGGTGGGGTAAAGTGATATTCCCAACAGAAGCCATGTCTTCCCATAGACACAGAATTTCTGATGATGAAACTCCCATGGGAATGGTACATCCCACTGTTGGAAGTCTGTCTCCCTTTGGGAAAAGAATTGTTGCCTTTACTGCCCTTCTGAATTCTGCATAAAGATCTTTGAGAACGCCGAGTGTGCGAGAAAGCTACTTTTGTCTCTTTGCTTCCCATACAGAGAAATTTGCTACTAGACGTCTCAAAAGTAATTGTTATTTCTTATTATTTAATATCATATACATCAAGACATCATTTTAATTAGACTTTAAATATGAAGTGTTATAGCGCAAACCTTAAGCCTAACACAAAGTACATCAGTGCATTTCCTGTTGCCAACATGACGGTCTCAGAACTCTTCCTTCCCTTCTCTTATCTGATGCTCTTTGTTCACAAAGGCCACCCTCAACTCCCTTGGACAGCCTCCTGATGTGCCTCTCTGCCTTTTCATCCCACAAGATTCAGCTCATAATCCTTTTCCAGAAACCGAAATCTCTTTTCATCTTGATTGTCCCAACACTTCTTCTCTCTCCTTTGTCTCTTATACAGATGGTTCCTGTATCTTGGTTGTCCGCAATGGTGGGATCTTCTTATGGGACTCAATCTTCCCATAAACATCTCTAGTGCTCCTTATACTCTTTATCATATATTAATTCCAATTTTGTCTTATGCTACGTCCTCTCACATTATGGTCTCCCACTCTAATATAACCAATGGATTGTCATTCACTCCGCCAAACTGCTCTTCAAAATTAATAACAGTAAAGTAACCTTATACAAAGAACCCTGTTTGGCTGTTTGTTTGAAACAGGGTCTCCCTCTGGCACCTAGGCTGGAGAGCAGTGGTGTGACCACAGCTCAGTGCATTCACGACCTCCTGGACTCAAGCAATCCTCCCACTTCAGCCTTCCAAGTAGCTTGAGACTACAGATGCACACCACTGTGCCCAGCTAATTTTTTTTTTTTTTTTTTTGTTGATATAGGGGCTCATTATGTTGCCTAGGTTGGTCTCGGCCTCGTGGGCTCAAGTGATCCTCCCACCTCAGCCTCCCGAGTAGCTGGGACCACAGGGACACACCACCATGTTCAGTTAATTTTTTTTTTTTTTTTTTTTGGTAGAGACAGGGTTTTGTCAAATTGCCCAGGCTGGTCGCAAACTCCTGGGCTCAAGCAAGCCACCTGCCTCAGTCTCCCAAAGTGCTGAGTTTATAGATGTGAGCCATCATGCTAACCCCTGTTTTTGTTTCTACTGAAACAGGTTGTAAGAGTTCTGCATTAGAAGATACAACCCCAAGCCTCTGGCAACCATGACTGGGGAGAAGATGCCAGGAGGAGAAATGGGAATGACTACTAATGGTTGTGGAGTCTCTGTATTAGACAATAAAAATGTCCTAAAATTGTGGTGGTGGCTGCACAGCTCTGTGAACACACTAGAAACCCCTGGATTTTACATTTTGAGTAAATTGTATGTGTGGTTTATATCTCAATAAAGATGTTTTAGAGGAAAGATATAACAATAACTGTAACCCAAATCTACTGACTATGAAGGGTCAGGTACCACAGATTGAACATCACTAATCCAAAAATCCAAAATGCTTCAAAACTTAGAATGTTTTAGGCACTGACATGATGCCATCAGTGAAACATTCTACACCTAACGATATGTGATGGGTCACAGTCAAAACGCAATCAAAACTCTAAAGTAAAGAAAAATATTTAAGGTGATGAATAATCTCAAGTATACTAATTTGCTATTTACTAATCATATAAATGTATTAAATTATTATATATACCCTGAAAATGTGTGCCTTTTATGAATCGATAAAAAATAAATTTCTAGAATACAAAAAACTGTTTCATGCACAAAATTATTAAAGATATTGTTTAAAATTACCTTCAGGCTATGTGATAAGGTGTATATGAAACATAAATTAATCCTGTGGTATACTTGGGTCCCAGCTCCAATATATCTCATTATATATATGCAAATATTCTAATATCCAAAAATATCTAAAATCTGAAACCCTACTGGTTCCAAGCATTTTGGATAAAGTATACTCAACCTGTACATGAAAGGCTTTGCAAACATGAACTTGTCAATCTCTT